AATAAAGGTGTTTTAAATCCTTCCCACACTATTGCAATATTCTAAACAATGTTTCTAAAGTAAAAGCTTTAAAAGAGCACAGAACGTCCACGCCCACTTCTCCGCTGCAATCGCTGGCAGAGAGCGGAGACCATGACGTGCTGCAGGAGGGAGCATCATTTATTTGAAATATAAGTTCCATGCTGATCGTGCGGCTCATCCATCAATCAGCCAATTGTGCGTCATGCCCAATCTTATTTTGTAAAACCGCAAAAGTAGCGAGGGACTACTGTATCTCACTGAAGCTGCGTGGTTGTTTTTAACGGCCAGCTTTTGAAAATCAAAACTTTTTTTTGTGTGTGTCTAGCTTACTGAGTTTCATTCTTCCTCGCGCACATTGTTTTGTCGCCCTCCTCGACCCACATCAGACCCATCACGGCTATGATTTAATCCGATGAACTGCATTTTTATAGTGAAAATGAGCAGAATTGTAAAGATAATGATTATTAGTGAGTGGTGTGTTTTTTAGATTTGGATGTATTTATCAGACCTCCTCAGCAGGAGCCAAACTACAGCTCCAGTCCTCTTAAGTTGGACTGGAGACATCTTGCTATCTTGTGAGCAGATCAGACGCACACATTTTTTAAACACGTTCAAAACCCAAGTGACAGGACGGTGTGCTGCTGCAACTCAAGCGAAGAAAAGGAGGACCTGAAACGAGCCCAGTGAGATGCTGCCGTCACTGTGTTCTGGGTGTAATAAAAAATATGAACAGTTTTATATTTATTTTAAAACTTTGGACATAATCATTGTTTTTTGTTGAGACAGATTATAAACAAAATCTTTCACCGCTCTAATTTCCATCCCAATCTTCACATAAATGCTTCTCACGTCCGACTGTTTGTCTCTCCATCACTCAGTCCTTTAATCATTTCCACTGAGATTTACACGTAACAATTCACCCTTGGTGTCTCTGTAACCTTTCACCGTGACTGAGATTGGGCTATAATTTTTCCCTTGTCTTGAACTATATATTTTTTTAACTGCATGTCTTTGTTTTTCCACTTGCAGCTGATATTTTCATATCTCGTTGTATTGTAACTGCGTGTCCTCTCTTTTTGCTTATGTCTTCGTGTGCCGTTTGTCTCCTTCCTGCCATTTTAAAAACCCATCGATGGCAGTCCACACTAAGCGGGGTAAATAGCAAATCTAGATCATCGTGATATGGCTCTGCTTCCAACCCTGAATGTCCCCTTTCGTGTCTGTGGACGATACTCGCCCTGCTCAACCCCCTCCTGTTCACGTCTGCAGGGAGACGCCGCATGCTGATGGAGTACACACAAAGTGAACCATTAATATCCACTGCCTGTTGTTTTTAATTCCTGCTACATGTTAACCCCCCCACCCATGGAAACATTTTACTAATCCAAATCCTGTTTCTGATGCTCAAACATCTCCAGCTATCAGGGCCGTTCCTCCGAGTTTGAAAGTCTGTGGCCCGTCCCACAGCTCGAGCAAAACTTTGTCTTGCTTTGGATTTTGGGGCTCGTTTCACAAAGCTGGTGGTGATACACAAACTTTCACGTTTTTACCTGCTTACAGATTTGTATTACAGTAGTCCCTCGTTTATCGTGGGGGTTACGTTTTGACGCAGTAAGTGAAAATCAGCTATTTATTTTAGTATTTATATATTTTAAGGCTTTATAAACTCTTCCCACGCTCTTGCAATGTTCTAAACTCTTAAACCTACATTATTTTAACAATACGTATATGTACTGTGCAGTACTGCAAAATTTTACTCACCAGCTCTGCAGAAGACAGCAGCTCGGTTCCGGTCCGGCTCGGCAGACCTACACTGCCAGTTCTGGTCGGCTCTCTGCAGCTCTTGAGCACCATGACACTTTTGGAGGGAGCCGGACCTTCGGATGGCCAGCACGGGACCAGACGTTGGTCCGACTGAGTCCAAATCCGGATGAAAAAAGTCCTGGTGGGCTCCGGAGAGATCAGATCAAAACTTTCCCTCTACGTATTTCACCAGAAGGCAACAGGGCTTCTGGGCGGGGCACTGTTGGCTTCTGGGAAATGTAGTCGTTTTCAGTGGTGATACAGTGCAGGCTTATTGAGGAAAAAACTCCGAAGTAGCGGCGCCTGTCCCAAGTATTTATTTTTTTTGTTAACTTTTTACTGTACAGTATCTCCAAGTCACATGAGTAATATTAAAGTTGCCAATCGTGTTCTGTACAATTATTTTTCTCGTGTACGATCTTACTTTGAAAAACCGTGAAAAACTGAGTACGCGAAAGTCGAACCGCGACTTGGCGAGGGACTACTGTACACCTAATTTTCTATGTGTCAGACTGGATTAGGTGGTTCATTTTTTGTGAGTTATAAACACGTCTGTCCACTGCTTTTCAAACTTTCATCAGGCCCAGCTGTGGCCTGCATGTGAAAGTTCTCCAGCTTCTGGAAATGTCCTAACGTTTCATTATTATAAAAGCTCTTTTGTTGTTTTCTTTACGACACGGCACTTTGGATTCAGTTTTTAATCTGAAATCTAAAGGACATCAAAACCGGTTTGAACCTGCTTGCTTTATAGTTGCTTTTGGGAGGAGGTTCACCTTTTTAGACCCTCTTATATTTACAAATAAGTCTTTTTTTTTTTTTCTTGTGACGCTCCTAAATATACTCACCAGAGTGTCTGTGTTGCAAGGCTCCAAGGTGCTCCAGAATGACGAGTTCACCAAAGATCTGTTCCGGTTTTTGCAACTTCTCTGTGAGGGGCACAACGGAGGTGAGAACCGTAGTTTTACGTAAACCAACATCGACATTTTATTGTTCGGATACTTTCATTTTGTGCTTTTTCTCTCAGATTTCCAGAATTTCCTGAGAACCCAAACTGGAAATACAATGACGGTCAACATCATCATCAGCACGGTTGACTATCTGCTTCGTCTTCAGGTGAGAGAAACACAAAACCTGACTTTATCTTCATTATTATTGTCGTCCTCATCGAAACACTTGTTACACTGGTCATTCACTGACTTCTACTCTCCCTTTAGGAATCAATCAGTGACTTTTACTGGTATTATTCTGGGAAAGATATCATTGATGAAACTGGGAAACTTAACTTCTCCAAAGCTTTGTCTGTAGCCAAGCAGATCTTCAACTCACTGACTGAGTACATTCAGGTAAGATCCAGTTCCCCCGGTCATCATGGTTGTATATTTAGTTAAAGGTTTAATTTCTCTTCACATCGTGTCTTATTTGTGTCACCTCTTACTTGCAGGGGCCCTGTATTGGAAACCAGCAGAGTTTAGCTCATAGCAGACTGTGGGACGCAGTTGTGGGCTTTTTGCACGTGTTTGCAAACATGCAGATGAAGCTGTCGCAGGTACATCGCACCAAGCATTTCTAATTTTTAATGAGACTTACAGATAATACAGCAAACTTTTTATTTTTAAAGCACAATAAAATGAATGTGCACGTTTAAAACGGAAAAAGGTAACTTTAAGAAAAAAAAAAAGGTACTAAACTTGATTTATTTTTTTTAATTGGCGGGCCTACTCACCTCCCTCTCCGTTGTGCTTTGGCTCAGCCTTTGAGCTCCTCCTTCCTGGGGAGGTGATGCTGGAATGTCAAGCTGGTAACCATGACAACTGCAGAGGTTGCAGTGAGTGACACTAGTGTCTCCACTGAATCGTTTTCACTCGAGAACAGTGGATTCTTGCACATCACAGTGGAGTGTCTAGGATGATCCAAACTAAAGTGACATAAACAATGTCATATTTTTTTTCCATCATATGCAACTTGTTGAAGCGACGCTAAGAGCTAGACCAATAAACATGAAGACATGACATTTGGCATTATGTGCTTTTTTTTTTGGTGCAGGTTAAATATTACATTTAAAATGTTAAAGTTTTTTTCCCCATTAGAACAAAAAGTTTTCTGTTTGATGTTTTTGCAGGATTCCAGTCAAATTGAGCTGCTGAAGGAGCTTATGGACTTACAGAAAGACATGGTCGTCATGTTGCTCTCTCTCCTTGAGGGTAAGACTCGGACGTGGTAGGATTTTAAAAACTAGTGGGTTTTTTTACCCAAATACAGTACGTACAGACACTTTGCACCATTTATGCTGACACCGTGCCGTATGCGTCATCAAACACACATGGAAAAAAAAAACTTATTTAACTGAAATTATCATATGGCATTCATGAAAACATTGTGCTGTAATGAGCCTCCCACTAATTCAGTTCAGTTCATCTTATTTATATAGCACTAAATCACAATAGAAGTTGTCTCGGCACTGAATAAAAACATGCACATACTTACAAAAGCCAATTAGTAAAAAATATCTAAAAAAGGAGGAAGCCAGCAGACACGTTGAAGCTTCACATCGTTGCAGTCTCCCATCCCTCCCATCAACTCTTCTTAAAACTGTGGCACTTGCATTTTTGATCAACTCAAAACTTTTTAAATAATTTTCTGGACACACAGATAAACAATCACAATAGTCCAGTCTAGACATGATAAATGCATGAACCAGTTTTTCTGCATCATTTTTGAACAAGATGTTTCTAACCTTAGTGATATTACGCAGGTGGAGGAAAGCGTTTCTGGTAACGTTTTATTATGGGGTTTAAAAGACATAACCTGATCAAAAATAACACCAAGATTTTTGAGTTTAGAACTGGAGATCAGATTAATGCCATCCAGAGAAAGTGAAAGACTGCAAAATGTTTTCCTAAAATGCTCAGGTCCAAAAACCAAAACCTCAGTCTTGTCTGAGTTTTAAAGCAGAAAATTAAGGGTCATCCAGGTTTTTATGTCTTTAAGACATGCTTGTAATTTAAGTAGCTGATTGGATTCATTGGGTTTCATATACAAATATAACTGTGTATCATCAGCATAACAATGAAAATTTATCCCATGCTGTTTATGGAAGCATATATAAAGTAAAGGGTATTGGTCCAAGCACTGAGCCCTGAGGAGCTTCATGACTAACTTTGGTGTATGAAGAAGATGCATTATTATACAGTAGATTACACCAAGTCTGGTCAATGCCAACCTGGCATGCATACTTATACCATCAGCTTTATATCAAGAATTTTATTAAGTCAATGGTCTGTACACATGGATCGAACATTAGATCTAAAAAAATGAATATTTTCAAACTGTTACTTCATACCAGTTAGCTAGAATTCAAATCTGTGATAGAATGACGTACTTTTCATGTCCACTTACTATAACCAGAGTTCTGCTACTAGTGTCTGTAGTTAATTACATTTAGAATAATAGCGATAACTTATATAATGTAGTTTTATTCCTTATAATTCTGGAGATGTTAAGGCTTTATATAACATGCACTTCAGTTTTTAGACAAGAATAACTGCACTTTTTTCCAAGTTGTACACGTACTTACCATATATGTTTTACTAATGAAATAGGTACAGCACAGATATTTTCTGACAGTATAGATGCACAGAACATGATGGAGCTAAGCTGGTATAATTCATTCATTCAACCTTTATTTAGACAGGTAAATCCCATTGAGCCTCGAGGACTCATTTACAAGAGAGACCTGATTTTATTTGAAACATAATCCCATGTTGTCTAAAGATGATTATTATAACAATAAGTTCAGCCGTTTCCCTCAGAAATCAGTGGTCTGCTCTTACTTTCAGTTGCTAAGGATGTCATGTAGCACCTACCAAGATGGTGACAAAAACACACCTTTTTAAAATGGCTTGCAATGCGGGTGGCCAATCTACTGTATTTCATTTCATAAAGTGCATACTGAGATGAGCACAAATGAAAGAAAATCTCAAAATAAAGTGTCTTTTTAAGGTTCTAAGCCACGTACTGTATGTAATCAGGATATTTTTGTCTTCATTTACTTTTGTGCTTCCTCAGGTAATGTGGTGAACGGAACAATAGGAAAGCAGATGGTCGACACTCTGGTGGAGTCTTCGAGTAACGTGGAGATGATCCTGAAGTTCTTTGACATGTTCCTCAAGCTGAAGGATCTCACAACGTCCGACAACTTCAAGGAGTACGACCCGGAGTTCAAGGGCATCATTTCCAAGAAGGAGTTCCAGAAGTCGATGGAGAGCCAGAAGCAGTACAGCCAGTCGGAGATCGAATTCCTGCTCTCGTGCGCTGAGGCCGACGAGAACGACATGTTTAATTACAAAGAATTTGTCGAGCGCTTCCATGAGCCGGCCAAAGATATCGGCTTCAACGTGGCGGTGCTGCTGACCAACCTCTCTGAACACATGCCCCACGACTCCCGACTGGCCACCTTCTTAGACTTGGCTGAAAGCGTGCTCAGCTACTTCGAGCCTTACCTGGGTCGTATCGAAATCTTGGGCAGCGCCAAGCGCATCGAGAGGGTTTACTTCGAGATCAGCGAGTCGAGCCGTGAGCAGTGGGAAAAGCCGCAGGTGAAGGAATCCAAGCGTCAGTTCATCTTCGACGTGGTAAACGAGGGAGGAGAGAGCGAAAAGATGGAGATGTTTGTGAATTTCTGCGAGGACACCATCTTTGAGATGCAGCTGGCCTCGCAGATCTCCGAACCGGACATCGTCGAACAGCCTGAAGAGGAGGAGGAGGAGGAAGGACACAGCCTCCTTGAGGAGCTTTCTGAAGCGGAGGCGCAGGAGTCGCTCTCGGCTTTCAGCGCGGCGTGTCGCTCCGTCAAGAACAAGATCGCAGCAGTCCGGCAGATTTTTACCGTTAAAAACGTACGCAAGCAGTTCAAGAAAATCAAAAAGCTGAGCATCAGGGAGCTTATCACGGGCTTCTTCTCTTTCTTCTGGATGCTTTTCATCGGCTTTTTCAAAGGAATTTTCAGCCTCATCTTTGGTTTCTTCCACCTTATCTGGTCCTCCATGTTCGGCGGAGGACTTGTTGAGGGAGCCAAGAACATGAAGGTGACGGACATCCTCGGGAACATGCCCGACCCCACTCAGTTTGGCATCCATGGCGACGTAGAAGGAGATAAAGTGGAAGCTATAGAGACATCGGGAAGCTTGGACAAAACTATGACACCAACCGGAGACTCATCGGATATGGACGTCATGTTGGAGATGCTAACGGCGCCCAAAAAGGAAGGAGGCAAACACGTGGAGCCTGGCCTGGGTGACGTTTCTGAGCAGAGCGCCGATTCCTCCACTGCAGACCAAAAGAAGGTGTGCATTCATATTTTTATCCAGTATTTATAGAACTATGTTTTTTTTTTTTTTATCTCTTCCGATCTCATATCATCGTTGTTGCAGAAAGCTGCTGCCAAGCCCACTGAAGCCCCGGACAGCGAACAAGAAAAAGCCGAGTGAGTAGCATGAAGTGGGTTAGAATAAAATCATTACCGTGTGGTTATAACCGTAAAGTAAAAATATGTTGCACAAAACAGCACAGAGAACCAGGAGAAGGAGGATAAACCGAAGGAGGAGGCGGCTAAGGAGCCAGCGGCAGAGGAGAAACCCAGGACCAAATCAAGTCAGCCTAAAGAAGCATCTCCTGCCTTCATGTCCACCATATTTGCTGTTCTTGACGTCTACCTGAACAAGATGCTGGTGAGCCATCACCATCCACTTTGTCTGGATTCTCACTCTTCGTTTCTTCCTAGAATGTATATGAAGTTTTAAAGTATCTTTTGTTTACCTAAAAATATTTTTACAGAACTACCTGGCTCGTAACTTCTACAACCTCCGTTTCCTGGCTCTCTTCGTGTGCTTTGCCATCAACTTCATCCTGCTCTTTTACAAGGTAACCAAAAAGATCAAAGCTAAAGGCTATGAACGTTTTGCTTTTGGTCCAGCTTCTATCGGGTTGCGGTTCGTGAGTTGAGTGGAAGCACTGGACTGGACTTCCTCAGTTCAAATTGTTTCAGGTCTTCATGGTGTGGATGATGATCTACACAGACACAAAGAAAAGAGAGGCTTCCTAAGAGGAGTTACAGTAGTCCCTCGTTTATCGCCGGGGATCTGTACCCTGAAGCCCCGCGATAAGTGACAAACCACCAAGTAGGAATAGTAGTCCAAGTAGTATTTATGTTAGTATATATATATATTTATATATAAAGGCATTTTAAGCCCTTCCCGCACTCTTGCAATATTCTAAATAATGTTTCTAAACTCTAAAAGACACATAATGTCATGATTTCTGCTCTCAGCCACGCCCACTTCTTTGCGACAGAGCAATCAGCTGATCAGCTGCAAGAGGGAGCTCCGGAGATGTGGGCTGCACACAGGTGCTAATAATCTGAAATAATTTATTTTAAATAAAAAAGACATGCAGATTGTGCGGTTCATCCATCAATCAGCTGATTGTGTGTCATGTCCAATCTTATTTTGAAAAACTGCGATAGAGCGAGTCCGTGAAAAACGAACAGCGAAGTAGCGAGGGACTACTGTACTGCAAATATATGTATAAGAAAAAATGATTTTCTAAAACTCATCTGTCGTCTCTTCACACCTTAGAAACGGTGCTTCAACTAAACATCTTTTAATTTTACATTAAATCGGTGTGACCGTCTGACTCACGGGGGTCAAACTCATTCAACAAGTAGACAAAATGGATTAAAAATAAAACTTTTTCAACATTTTCTTGGAAAAAAAATAAAGTACTTTATTTCCATGTTTTCCCAGATTGCATATGTAAAAGTTTTTTCATTCAACCTTTATTTAGACAGGTTAATCCCATTGAGCCTCGAGGACTCATTTACAAGAGAGACTTGATTAGTTTAGAAAAGTATTCACACAAAACTATGAAACTAACTTTTCTCAAGATATTTTTATGAGTCTGAATACTGGAATTTAAAAAAAAAATAAACATTCTTTTTTATATAGCTTCCTTTTTAATCACTTTTTTTTTAAACTGGTTTTTAGTGAAAATATTAAAATGGCATGAAAATTCTAAAAATTACATAATAGAAAATATGGATAAATTACATAAATTCACTCTGCAGTTGTGATAAACTCGCACAAACACCAGTCAGCACAAATTAAGAACAAAATAATGAAAAGGACATTAGAGCGAAACTCCTTTGTTGGTCGTATTGTGAGCAAACATCCTAATTCACTTTTCATCAATTTAAAATATTCATAATTCTCAGAAGAAAAACTTCATTTTAAAGTGAATCAAGTCAAATACTGCAAATGGCATAAAATACTCCCTCTGTGTATTGTGGACTTTGCTGTCTAGGTTACTGGTGAGACGGATGAAGAGGCTGATGAGGATGATGAAAATACCTGGGGGGATGAGGGGGATGATGAGAACACGCTGTTTGACATGGACGAGTTCGTCCTTCAGGAGAGCACCGGGTACATGTTACCCACGCTGCGCTTCCTGGCCATATTCCACACGGTTATCTCCCTCCTCTGTCTGGTCGGGTACTACTGTCTGAAGGTACACATTACTGTACCGTTAATGCCTCGGCGGTCCGCCTGTACTGAGTCGGTTTGATAAACTAAAACGTCAATTCTGTTTGCTTTTAGGTTCCTTTAGTGGTTTTCAAGAGGGAGAAGGAGATCGCCAGGAAGCTTGAGTTTGACGGTTTGTACATCACTGAGCAGCCGTCGGACGACGACATCAAAGGCCAGTGGGATCGCCTCGTCATCAACACGCCGTGAGCCACGCCCACTTCTGTTGCTCCACTTGTTTTGTTACATTTACAGTGCTGGAGTTAAAGTTCTTTATGTGGATTTCAGGTCGTTCCCGAACAACTACTGGGACAAATTCATTAAACGCAAGGTGGGCGTGAAGAACTAAAACTAATTTTGTACTAAGAGTTACGTTTCTGAGATATCACATGGTTATGAGATGATCTGGAGGTGGTCAGATGTTTTCCCTAAGATTTTTAATCTAAAAAAAAAAATAGGATTGCTTTAATAATTTGTTTTTACTGACTTGTTTAAGGTGGACCCTGAGATTTTAGTTTTTAAACAACAGAGGATAAGTGAAAACGTTATTTGTGCATGTAGGTGATCAACAAATACGGTGACATGTACGGAGCTGAACGCATCGCTGAGCTTCTGGGTCTGGACAAAAGTGCTCTGGACTTTGACCCCACGGTGGAGACTGTCGAGAAGGAAGCTTCCCTGCTTTCATGGTGAGAATTTGTTCAAACAGGCCATTCAGGGACCTGCACCCCGTCACATTTCCTTCTTATTTCTCACACGTTGTGACAATTTAGTTACGAGTTAACGCAACATTCATGATTTCAAACTGTGGGAAAGTACGTGTGATGAAGCAGAGATTATGAAAATGCTCATTTATTAAAAAAATTAAGTAAAAAGTTTGAAAAGTCTTTCAGCTTCCACTTCAGACATTACTTGGCCGGAACAAGTAAAAACCAAAGTTTATTTATAGTTTTGTCCATTATACGAACACAAATTGAACATTTTTTTAAGTAATAACCAAATCAAAGTATCATAATTTCCAGACTATAAGCTGCTACTTTTTTCTTTGAACCCCGCAGCTTATACAATAATTTGTTTTTTTTGACAGGCTAACGAGCTTCATGCCGCCAAAACATTTAGCCTCGTCACACCCGGGTGCTCACATAGCTGCGCAATACACGTCTCTCTTGGGGGGTGGGTCCTCATGACTCAATAAGACTACCTTTTATAAAGGTTTAAAAATAATAATAATAATCTGACCAATAAAATTACTAAACAGGTCACAGTGGGGAGGTCCCCATTGGTAGGCTACTGAGTTTTTATTTTTTAACCAGCTGAGTTACACTGTTCAGGAAAAAACATTTACTGTATGTATTTAATTAATTAAACATATAAAGTGTCTTTCTGTGTAAATATCTCATTACAACATGGACACCCACGGCTTATATACAACCAGACTATATATGTACAATTTTTTTATTTTTACTTAGTGGGCGCGGCTTATATTCGGGTGCACTTAATAGTCCGGAAATTACGGTAAATGTAATAAAAAGCAAGTGAACAGAATTTTGACCCATATTTAATGCTTTTCGGTTATTAAAACTGATTATAGATGCATGCAACCGGTAATTGTATTTATAGAGCATCAAGTCTTTTCTGAAGGCTGTAGAAATTGTCATTTCTAAAAAAACAAAACAAATTACTAATGTTCAAATGTACACAACAAAGTAGAAGTTCTTATAATAAAACAAATCAGTCTGTAACAGCTTCAAGCAAAACCAAAACATTTGACCTGCTTTACAAACTTCAGCATTAACATTAAAGCATTTCTATAATACTTAGATAGTTGTTCAAGTTTGGCAACATCATCCATTTGACAACTAAAGTTGTTGTTCTTATTAACAGGTTGAGCTCTATTGACACAAAGTACCACATCTGGAAAATGGGAGTGGTTCTGACTGACAACGTGAGTTTAATTGAATTTATTCACAAACCAGCAGGAGATGTTCAAAAACCTCTGACATGGTTCATTTGTTACTGATGTTATAAAAAATACTTTCAATTTGTGTTCCCTTCTTTAGTACTTCCTGTATCTGATCTGGTACACCACCATGTCCGTCTTTGGACACTTCAACAACTTTTTCTTTGCTGCTCATCTGCTGGACATCGCCATGGGCTTCAAGACTCTCCGCACCATCCTGTCTTCTGTCACTCACAACGGGAAGCAGGTGAGTCCTTCTACCAGCAGAGGGCGCTACAAAACAAATCATTAACACATTATCAGTACAGTATATTTATAAGAATTACTTGCATTTTCACGGATACTAATACAATTCAAAATGTGGCAGATGGTGTGGTCAGAAAGTGGCCTAGCATGACGTTAGACTCAGCTTGAATGGTCCTGCATGCGTTCATTGCCTCTATCTACCATCCTCACTATGTCTGGTCAACCTGGGGTTGCATTTTCTCTTGCGTCCCCATCCTGTGAGGTTGGCTACAGTCCCATGAACTTTCTACTTTTTATGAACATTGGCAGCTGCTTAGACATCATCTTGTATGCCTTTAAGATGAAGGTCTAAAATCTTCTTCCTGAGCTCCTCATCTCTTACTTTTGCCGTTTCTGCTCCGTGTTCGGTGTAGTGCGCCGAACGATGCTAAATTAATTAGTTTGAAACATTAATAGTCTCTTTAAGGGTACACACAAATCTCTTCAAACTGTTTTAGGGTTTCTTTGTAACAACAAATCCTCTCTTTTTGCAGTTTTTGTTTATTGCATAGTAAATGTATGCAGATATACATTAGTCTGCTGTTTTAAACTGATCCCTTCTCATTGAGCTGTGAAGCTTTAGCCCCAGAAAAAGGAATTTGTAAACTGTTTGAAACAGATGAGCATCTGAGACATCATGTAGATTAAAGAGGGCAACAAACAATAGACGGCACACTTCAAACACAGTATAATTGGATGGATCAGGACACAACAAAACCTTGATTTGAACAAATTACCTTAAAAAATCAATTTGCACGATGGACAGAACCTTTCAAGACATGGCAGTATGATTCAGATAATTAAACTTGAGTTTTTCTATTAACAGTAAAAGAGTTGCAATTATTGGAGATTGCCTCCAAAGTCCAAGAAAGTACCAATAATTCTGACAAATTAAATCTTTTTTTAGTTCAAGTTATTTATGAGGAGGTAACTGGATACACACAGTTTTCACTGTTAACTACTACATTCATGAAAATAAAAATGTATTTACTTTGTAAATTAGTTCTAACTAGAGAAAGTGCATTTCCTGCGAAAATGCAGTGTCAAGGTTTATTGCTGAAGAACTTGATGAAAAACAGCTGAAACTAGCTAAAAAAAACATGCTGAATTGTAGCTGAAATGAAAGAACAAGACTTAGTTAGCAGAAGAAAGCAGTAAAACACATTTTTGCTGAATTAAGTATAAAAAAAGCAGAAATTAGCATACAAATTATGAAATAAGCTAAAAAAGGCTGAAAAGTAGTAGTAGCTGAAATAGCTGAAACTATCATAAAAAAGCTGAAAGGAACATAAGCTAAAATTACCATAAAGAAGGATGAAAGTAGCAACAATTACCATGAAAACCTTGAATTTATCTAAAGGTAGAACAAGCTTAAATTAGCAGAAACTTGTTGCCCAATTAGGCCAAAAGAAGCAGAAATGAGCAAAAATAAGTGGAACTTATCTGAAAAAAGCTGAAATTTGTTAAAAAACAACTGAAAAGCAGCTAAAAAAATCAGAAAGCTTAATTTATCAGAAGTGGAGAGAGTGCATTTTTGCTGAGTTAGGCTGAAAAAGTTGATATGGGTGAAACAAATGTGGAATTAGCTGAAAAAGCTCATTTGCATACAACGGCTAAATAGAAGCTGAAATGGCAGAAATAAGCTGAAAGGAGCATAACAAGCTGAAATTAGCAAAACGTTGAAAGCACAAAAATGATTTAATGAAAATTGGAAAAAAGAATCTGAAGAGCATAAAACAACTGAAATTACCAGTAGCTGAAAATAAGTTTAAATTTGCACAAGCTGAAGCAAAACAAAATGTGAAAGGAGCAGTAAAAGTTTGTAAACAGATCTAAAGATTTGAAGGAGGTAAAATGAGCTCAATTCATTTTCTATGATGAAAAAAAAAATGGCAAAAAAGGCTAAATATTTCAAAAAGCTAAAGTTGCACCAATACCAAAAGTCATAGCAGGATTGTCCTGAACATTTTTGATAAGTTTGTTGAAATAGTTTGAAAACTGCTGGATGAGAATTGCACCAAAAAAAGTACAGAAGAAAAATGGATCGAAACATTGTGAATGCTTCATAAACATTCACACTATTGTTTAACGTGTGAGCAAATGTGGCTAAAAAAGTTGTACTGAAATGAATCGGTGCAAAAGTGGAGGAATTTTGTTTTCTAAACTAAATCTGTGAGCCAAATGGTAAAAATAAAATGTGCATTTAAAGTAGCAGATTCATGGGTAAAAGTACCAAAGTGATGAGCTGCGACACAAAGTCTTTAATTAATCCACTAATGGAGGAAAACATTATTTAATGTGATGAACTTTAATTTCTGCACGGTTAGGGCCATTAAGGCCTGAAAAGTAATAAAAAAGCTCTTCAGAAAGCCTTGACTCAACCTTGTACTCTGTGCATCATAATCCTGAGTGTTGACGAAGACTCGCCAAAGGGAGGAGAAATAATCTCCTTTTGCGTGTTCTCTCCTCGCAGCTCGTGCTGACCGTGGGTCTGCTGGCCGTGGTCGTCTACCTCTACACCGTGGTGGCCTTCAACTTCTTCAGAAAGTTCTACAATAAGAGCGAAGACGAAGACGAGCCCGACATGAAGTGTGACGATATGATGACGGTACCTCAGCTCGCCTTCAACATACATTTGGTTTAGAAAGGAAACGTCGGCAAAGTGACAAACAACCCTCCAGACGTGGGCGGGAGCCATTCTTTTACACTGAAAAGAATTCCTCAGGCTTTTATTCTGAATCGGTGATGCACAAGTTCTGATGGCCTTGGCTGGGGTGTAAAAGCAGGATGTGACTTTTTTTTCTTTCAGCTAACGCTTCAGCGTGTTATTAATGAATTAATGGATTGAATGTTTTGAAATGATTCACTCCCCTTAAATGCACTTTATGAAGAAAGAACGAAGATTCTCAGAAAAACGAGGTTTCTATTAAATTCCCTTTGACGTTTTAAACGACATACGTAAATGACAGAACCTTAAAAAGCAAGAGTTCCTGTCACGCCCAACGGTCGTCCACAGGGCGGCTGTGGCCGAGTGGTAAAAGCAGTTGTCCACCAATGGGAGAGTTGGGGGTTCGATTCCACCAGCAGTCACATGCTGAAGTGTCCCTCGGCAAGACACTGAACCCCTCATTGCCTCCGACCGTGATGAAGCTCTGATTATTCTTTGTATAGATCTAGTAGAGTGCTGTACGAATGGGTAAATGAGGCACAGATTGTAGTGTAAAGCACTTTTGAGTACCTTGATAAGATAAAAAGGTGCGATAAAGCAATGGTTCCCAACACTGGTCCTTGAGGAACGCCATCCTGCGTGTTTTTAGTTGTTTCCCTGCTTTGACACACCTGATTTAAATGAATGGGTGATTAACAGGCTTCTGCAGAACATGAATTAAATCGCTGAATCAGGTGTGGTGGAGCAGAAAACTAAAACATTCAGGACGGTGTTCCTCAAGGACCTGGGTTGGGAACCACTGCTTTTAAGTACAGTCCATTTACCCAACCTTCAGCAGCATAAGAGAATTTAGTTTGAAAAACAGGATAAAACAAAACAAAGCAGATTTTTACTCCTTATAGTCCGTACTTTTTAAGCGTGCTGACACTCAGCTGCAGTTTATGTGGTGTTACTATTTTTTTCTCTTCCTAGTGCTACTTGTTCCACATGTATGTGGGCGTGAGAGCTGGAGGTGGTATTGGAGACGAGCTGGAGGACCCAGCTGGAGATCCTTACGAACTCTACCGCATCCTGTTTGACATCACTTTCTTCTTCTTTGTCATCGTCATCCTGCTGGCCATCATTCAGGGTACATACACTCCCTTTACAGAAATGTGTGAGTACTCCTCGTGTGTATCTGTAACGATCTGTATCTGTCCAACTGACTTCCTACAGGTTTGATTATTGATGCCTTTGGTGAGCTCAGAGACCAGCAGGAGCAGGTGAAGGAGGACATGGAGGTAAGACTCAAATTATACAAATATTAAAGGCAAAATGCCATTTGCTCACCACATTTTAGGCCAGAGTAATAAACTAAGATCATCTTTTGATGATGGATGGACTCATAGCTGCTTTGGTCAAAGCTTGTAATTTAAACGAGATCTGTTAGGAATAACTCCTGCCTACCACCACATCCAACATCAGCTCAATAACAGTAAAGTTGAGTAAACTATAAACACGTCGGTTAACTGCAACAGTCTTCTTAATTGGTGTGACTCCAGAAGTTAATCAGTTGTAGATATCAAACAGTCTAGAATCCTCCTGGTGCTTCATGGCAACTGTTACTGCCAAAGTTAAAACAAAGACATAAGGGTACGTACTGAGAAATGGTCAGCTCAATATCTGTGAAACTGAGTTGAAGCTTTTTTTGTGTTTCCTAAGATCAGTTGGCTTAACTCCAAAAGTCAGCCTTTTGTCTTCAGCGGTGGATATAAAGATAGGTTTAACATTTCAAACAACATCAAACGATGAGTGAGATTTACGTCTCCAAACTTTTTCCAGCTAGGTTAACGCTGCAGTTAAAGAAAAACTCTGTGATGTCACAGGTTTTATTTTCTACACAGCTGAAGGTTAAAAACTTGTAACAACAAAAGCCACTTCTGAAAATCGTCATTTTAAAACCTAATTACCGGTACTGCCTGTGGATCCTAGATGTTGGCACCTTTAGTTTTGCCGCAGAGGCTACCCATTAAGTTGAACTTAACTGACGTGATAAACTTTGTAATGTTCATTAATACTTTTCAAACAGCCTAAATCGGAACCATTAAACTGGTGGCCCATGGGCGAGCTCAGTTCAGCTCAACAATGGGTTTTTGAAAAAAATTACATTTTAAACCATAAAACAAACTAAATGACAATAACTGCTGGATGTCCCATCCCTGAGCTCTTACCTCTCAGTAATTTAGTTGAATTGCCCTGGCCTAAATTTAGATTAAGGTTTACTGTACATGTTGCATCAGTCCAAATGTTTAATAAAGTGGAAAAACAAATGCGCTGCTTCGCCATACCACCGGGAAACATGGGCCGGTGCTGTGCCAAAAATCGATTGGCTGCCAAATGGTGGCTGCGGGAGCATGCACGGGAGGACTTTAACAAGAATTTAGCAAGATTAACACTTAAAAACAATTGGTTTGCTCAAAATTATAGCAAAGGTGCATCTCAGTTGAACTTTTCCTTAATAAATGCACTTTAATGGTCAAATCAGCTGCATTTCACCTGGACAGTATGGCAAAAATGCAGCTGATTTGACGTTTGCTCCCGGAGTTCTGGAGCAAGAAGGTGGCTTTGTATGGCAAGCCAGTTGTCTCATTAATAGCCACACTTGGCTTGTCATATTAGTCGAGGGCCCTGTAGTGGCTGAAAATGGTCGTGTTCAATATTTTCCATGTCAGAATGAATGAAATCGTCAGATCTCCAGAAAAAACGTGGATGCATGCAGGGCATGCAAAAAATGCGACTTATACAGCAATCTAAATTTAATCTAGATTATTTTATATGAAGGATTGTTAAAGAAATGGGCAACTATTGTTTTTCCTGTAATACACTATTCATACCTGTCTTCACTGTTCTAGACCAAATGCTTCATTTGTGGCATTGGGAATGACTACTTTGACCGAACGCCTCACGGGTTTGAAACCCACACCTTACAAGAGCACAACCTTGCTAACTACCTGTGAGTACAACAGCAGACATGGATGTATCAAATATATCAGCTGGATAAATTGTTCACGACTCGTGTCGTCCTGTTCGCAGGTTCTTCCTCATGTACCTGATCAACAAAGATGAAACTGAACACACGGGTCAGGTGCGTCACCACACACACATCTTTGTGCTGTTTATTCGCTGTCTGTGACCACTCTCAGGTAAACAAAGGACAAAATAGGAAGCGGTCCAAATCCAGGAGGTTCTACTTACGCAACACTTCAAGTGGGTTGGAATGTTGCAGGAGAATAAAGCAACGTGTGGGTTGGCTTTGACAGTTTTACATCGTTTGTGCCGTGCACCTGAGACTCTGACCGATTCGATGCTCTTTTCTTCATCCTTCCATCATAAACAACGTTACTCGTCTTTGAACAAGCTGTTTCAAGAGGTGACTGCTGACAGCTTGTTCAGGCAGAGCCCAAATGAAAACGGTTCTAATCTCTAAAGCAGGTTACCAGAACGCTGTTTTCAAAATCCATTTCCCAGCAGCAGCTAACTGTAGCAGTTCCAGTGTGGGCTGGAGTGTTTCTGACCGAGGTGTAAAAGTTTCATGAAACTTTTCAGAATATTTTAAAACCACAGTAATCCTCCACTCAAGTTGTAAATTAAGACACCGACGTCCATGCTCAGTAATCCAGGTATAAAATCCAACAATGTGACTGGATTGTTGGATTTTATACCTGGATTATTGAGCATGGACTTTGGTGTTTTGAACCAGTTTGACCATCTTGGCACCAATATAACTGGGTTTTTTCCACTTTGGAGTAAGCTGTTGGGGGAGAAGCAGTTATGTTTGGTGTTTCATCAGACTGATGAAGCCTTCTGGATGAAGGGCGAAACGTCTCAACACAAAAAAAAACTGTCCAGATGACCTGACTGAACATTGTTGGATATCTAAACTCTCTGAACTGTCACAGTTTCTTACTTGGCAACACGTTTCATTTTTTTAAGTGGATGCTGTTCAGAGTAGTCAGTATCTTACCTGCAGCTGAAGTTTGGGGTCGTCAAACCAACAACTACTCAGAGCAGGACCCACTTGAGAACAAAAAATAAAAAAATCTAGATCTTCCTCAAAGTTCAAGTGAATGCTATTTTAGGTATTTCTAATACAGTCGTTTGTTTTTAATATTAATTTTACCGGTCGTTTATATTTTTGGACTTTGACAATGTTCTTTTTAGCACAGGAGAGTATAAACATGCCCAACAGCACAAACTGTTTGTCAACTTTAGCAGGTAAGATAATAAATAGCGCCTTTCACTGTGGGGGGCCATAAAAGCTTGTTGTGAAATTATCACCAATCGATTGCACTCGTGGCGTGATGCTGGTTGTTTCCACTTTAATGACTACTTCATGCAATCTCACTTAATAAAAACTATCCCTTTAAAACTTGTTTCCTTCCCCCTGCAGGAGTCGTACGTGTGGAAGATGTACCAGGAGAGATGCTGGGACTTCTTCCCCACAGGAGACTGCTTCCGTAAGCAATATGAGGACCAGCTGGGTTAGAGGAGGCAGCCTCTGCAGGCGCCCCCAACCCCCTACTTCACTCTGTTAACAGAACCTGGAAATAAAACCTGGATTTCTACACAAAACATGATTGGACACTCTGGACTTGTGCATTCATGACAACTGAGTGTTTATGCACAATTTGTGGTCAGGACGCTTGTGTCACTACCATGTCAACTGGTTACGTTCCTTAACATCAAATACTTTGCCTTTAACAACGGTTCAAGTCTATTGACATCAAGATGGTTCCTTTGGGACTAGCTGACGACTCAGTTTAGAGGTTAATTAAGTGCCAAAGTGCCTTTTTTGAAGAAACTATGCAAAAAAATAAAATAAACATATTTTTGTTCCTCCTTACACAAGCAAATTTACGTTAGTTTGGTGGCTCTGGAATAAAAATATGGAAAAAAGTTGTATAAAATCTAGACATTTGTGTAAATGTTGCTCCGTTTGGTTCCTAAGCTGTGGTGTCCTGCCTGCTTGCACTTTCCTCCACAGTGAAAGAACACCACACCCACGGAAAATCGCTAAATCTGATTCAACCATTTACTGGTCGAATGGTTAGCTGCCTGTTGGTAGCTTTGGAAAACTGACTCTTGATGGGAGGAAATTAATAAAATGACGCAATAAAACCCGTTGTGTGAGATATTGTCCTTTCTTTAGACTCGCTGAAGAAGAAGGCCAGTCCTTTGTCAACACCTTCATGTTGAAATGCCACGTTTATTTTTCAGGTTTCCTTTTTACCTCTGAACTACGGTAGTCCTTCGCCAGTCAGGAGATCATGCTGTCGAGCCAGTCCTCCAGATCCTCCTCCGTCATCTCTTCTTTAACGGACTTTGAAGATCCAACTTCTTCATCTTGTACGTTGTTGTGAACAACTTTTGATTCCTCTGCTTCAGGCACTTTGGAAAGAAAAAAAAACTGAATTTACAAAGATGTGAAACTAGACTGTTTGACTTGAAGGGGTTATAAAATGGTCACAAGTGAGCTCAGCTGAACCAAAAAAATAGAATACAGTATCGTTTATCACGGGAGACCTGTACTGTGAAAAACCGCGCAGTAGGAATATTGGTACAAGTATATTTATTTTAGTATATATAAAGGCATTTTAAATCCTTCCCACACTCTTGCAATATTCTAAACAATGTTTCTAAATGCTCTAAAAGACAATGTCACGATTTCAGCTCCACTGCTCTGCAACAGGATGTTTATCCTGCAGTGTGGGCTGCACAAAGGTGCAGCAGGTGCTAAATACTTTAAATTAAATTATTTTAAATTAAAAAATTCCGTGCCCATCATGAAGTGTCTAGTCTTATTTTTGAAAAAACCGCGAGTCCACGATAAATGAACCACGAAATAGTGAAAAACTTTTTTGTCAATCATTTCAGAAAGTGGTATACAGTAGTCCTTGCACTGCTTTTCAACATAGTCAACTTTAATATTACTCACATGATTGGGACAGTACGAGATAAGTAATACGTCAGACAGGTGCAGCCATTTAGTAGTTTTCTTTCAATAACCCTACACTGTAACACCAAACAAAGGAACTGCACTACCCAGAAGTCAACAGTACTTCCAGCTGATTCTTTCTACCAAAATGGAGGGAAAGTTTTGCAAGGCAAATCTACAGTATCTATGAAGCTCACAGAACTGGCAGGAAAGTCACAAATAATCCTGAAGCTCAATTATCCACGTGCACATCAACCTGGACGGGGCGGTGCACGGTAGGTCTGCAGAACCGGAACCAAGCTGCTGGTCTGTAGGGCTGGTGAGTAAAATTTTGCAGTACTGTACAGTACATATATGTATGTTGTTGAAATTATGTAGGTTTAAGAGAACAAAAGTGTGTGGGAAGAGTTTAAAGCCTTAAAATAGATAAATATTAAAATAAATACAGCGTTCCTACTTTGTGGTTTTCCACCTATTGTGGGGTGTGGAACGTATGTAAGCCCTGCGATAATCGAGGGACTACTATATGATATAGCTTCATTACACACAGTGAAATATTTCTAACCTTCATTTCTTCTAATTTTGATGATTATGTTTTACAAATATTGACAAACTAAAATTCAGTGTCTCAGAAAACTAGAACATTGTGACGAGGGTCAGTATTGTAAACTCCTGGTGTCACATCCTGGTCAGCTGATGAACTCCTGGACATGAACTACAAATGTCTCGTTCCTCACGTCCAGCCACTCCTGAACCAGTGACATCAGAAGCGTCTCACCTGCTGAGGAGACAAAGAACTGGACTGTCTCTCAGAGGTCCAGTGTCCTCTTTTCAGATTAAATGTTCATGTCATTTGGAAATCAAGGTCCCAGAGACTGGAGGAAGAGAGGAGGACCAGAATCCACGTAGCTTCAAGTCCAGAGTGAAGTTTCCACAGTCAGTGATGGTTTGGGTCCATGTCCTCTGCTGGTGCTGGTCCACTGCGTTTTCTGAATCCAGTCAACTCAGCATCTACCAGGACATTTTAGAGACTTCGTGCTTCCTTCTGCTCACGAACTTTATGGAGATGCTGGTTTCATTTTCCAGCAGGACTCTGCACCGGCCCGCACTGCCGAAGGTACCAAAAACTGACCGTGGAATATTTTCATTCTCTGAAACACTGAGTTTTGTTTTTTTTATTATTTGTCCATCATAATCATCAAAATTATAAGAGCTAAGGCTTGAACCATTTCACTCTGTGTAATAAATCTATATGAGCATCCCTCTCCATGTCGGTCCATCAAACCAGCAGAAAAGATCCTGGTGAGCAGCACGTGCTTCACTAGAGGAGTTTTCAGCTGCAGGAGAAGAGTAACCGTGTGGACGCAGTCATTTTTCAGAAAAAAAAACACAACGGTCTGATCAGGAGGTGGCAGCTGAGACGAGCACCTGTTTTAAACGACTTATGCTACTTTAATTAGCCCTGCATGATTAAAGGAGAGGCCCGCTGAGAGGTTTAGGAACTGCTGCACGTTAGTCTAAAGTTTGTGTAGGTGGGGGGAGTAGATCAACTGAATAATCCAATTTGAGTGTTTTTAAACACATCCCTACTTAATATGAACACAAACTGCACTAGAACTCATTATTCGACTTGCCTTTGTGTGGAGAAGCTTCCTCCTGTGGACTGACTGGCTGCTGCTCCGAGACTGGTTTCTGTAGACCGAGCAGCTGGTCCAGCTCTTCGTCACCATCGTCCACCACAGAGGAAATGCTCGTCGAAGCTGAGGAGGGGTTCTGGTTTGTGCCGAGGGCTTTAAAAGCCCTGGATGGAGGCGTGAATGTGCTTGTTTTTGACACTTCTTGTTGAGGTGTGAGACTAACGGCCGGCAGGTTGACTGGTGTCGAAACCTGGAACAGAAAAAGAAAATGTGTCTGGAACATTTTGTTTACTAATAAATATAAAACATTGTCCTGTATACACAAGACAGTGTTGCTTATTTAATCTATTCTAATACAGTCATGGCAAAAAGTACTTTTGGTTTTAAGAAAACTCAAGTAAGACCATTTTCTTTTGAACGTGACACGTGTTTAAAAGTTGTAGATGCTGAGTTTGCAGTTATTAGACATCAAATTCAAAACTTTAAATTGTAACTTGTTCAAAAATAAAACAAGTCTATTGACTATATTTTCTGTTAACCATAGCACCAGATGATAAACTATGACATATTTCTACTCATGAGAAATGCACAAAGGTACATTAGTCCCTCGCTACTTCGAGGTTCGCGGACTCGCTCTTTCAGTTTTTCACCGATTGTCAACTTCAATATTACTCACGTGATTGAGACCGTACGAGATAAAAAGTTAACAAAAAATATATTTTGGACAGGCGCCGCTATTTTTTTGTTTCAATAAGCCTACACTGTAATGCCAGTCATAGAACTACACTACCCAGAAGTCAACAGTGCTTCCAGCTGCTGCTTTCTGCCAAAATGGAGGGAAAGTTTTGATCTGATCCAAACCAGACTAAAAATTTCGGTTCTTATTCGTGGCGACTTCAGCGCTCAGTGGATGCAGAGAGCCGTACGGAACAGACCAGGAATTGGACCAGGACTACTTCCAGCCTCACCGGTCAATCTGAGAGCTGCTTGCCGGACCATGAAGCCTCTCGAGCCGGGAGGCGTTGCTTTGAGGTCCCGTGTTTTCTCCGGAGCTCACTGGAACTTTTTTCATCCGGACTCAATCGGGACCATTTTGTACCAGCTCCCTGAATGTTCGGCTCTCTCTAAAAGCGTTTGGTGCTCAACGGCTGCAGAGAGCCGAACAGAACCGGACCAAGGCTGGTGGGCGCCCATATAAAATTTTGCAGTAGCTGCTGTGCAGTACATATACTTATGTTGGTAAACTTAGTAGGTTTAAGAGTTTAGAACATTGCAAGAGTGTGGGAATGGTTTCTAAAGCCTTTATATATATATATATATATATATATATATAAATGCTAAAATAAATATAGCGTTCCTATGTCGTGATTTTTCGCATATTGCGAGGATGTGTGGAACGTAGCCCCTGCAATAATTGAGGAACTACTGTATTTAAGTCCATCGTCACCTTTACTGACCACGTAATGATGACAGCACCAGAGAGCCTGGGTCAAAGTTCATACCTGAACCAGCTCAGCCTCCAGGTTGAGTCTTTCATGAAGAGGCACCTGATGAAGAGTTTGGGCGAGAGCCTGGAGATCCAAAACCACTGCTGACATCTGAGGAGCAAACATGAAAAAAAGAACTGAGCTCAAGGAGCTGAATGCAGACAAGGTTCAGAGGAAGTACACCTGCATCAGCAGTACTCAGACACCTGAATAAGACGGTTTTAGAAGCATCCCACAAAGAAGAAAAAATAAAAAGCTTAGACTCTAACGGACTTCACGCTCAGGAATTTAAATGTGCGTTCACTAAAAGTCAGAGCATGTTCTGGTTTCTGTCATGAGCTCTTGAGTCTGCTTGTTTTGATCATAAAATTGTCATATCCAACATGAAGTACACAGAATGGAGCCAAAACTAAACTTTAAATGTCTCTGCTTGATTTTAGGAAAACATCAGTTGTGATAAATTCATATGTTCTATTACTACCGTACTTTTTGCCATACAAGTCACACCTTTTTGCATAAATTAGCATGCCCTGCAACTTATACAGCGAAGCGACTTATTTATGTTTTCCCCATATTTATAAACAAATTTTTGGCTGAGATCTGACGACTTAATTCATTCTGACAAGGAAAATATTGAACACTACTTTTCAACAGCTAGTTTTCAACAGCTTGAGTTATATGGCAAGCCAAGTGTCTCATTGATAGGTAAAAGTGTCTATTAATGAGACACTTGGCTTGCCATACCAAGCCACCTTCGTCTCGCTCCAGAACTCCTGGAGCAAATGTGAAATCAGCTGCATTTTGCCGCACCGCCCAGGAGAAATGCAATGGATTTCACCATTAAAGTGCATTTATTAAGGAAAAGTTAAACTGAGACGCACCTTTAATATAATGTCGAGCAAATAATCTTGTTAAAATTTGAATAAATGCTCAGCAAGTCGTCCCTCTGCGCGCTCCAGCAGCCGCGAATCGGCTTTTGAAATGCAGCTGATTTTACCATCAAAATGCATTTATTAAGCACAATTTAAACCGAGACGCACCTTTTACTATAATTTAGAGCAAACAAATAATTGTTTTTAAGTGTTAATCTTGTTAAATGCTTGTTAAAGTCCTTTTTTCCCCACTTTATCAGACACATTTGGACTAATGCGACTTATACGGTGGTGCAACGTGTACGGTGGAAAGTACAAGTAAGTGTAATGACTGCCTGTGCATCCTTAAATGTTTAAATCCAGAGAAAGTTCAAGCAGAATGTGCGGTGAAGGGCACTGGGGCTGAGGTTACCTGACTGGCGGTGAGCGAGTCCATCTCCCAGTCCTTCTCATCTGAAAACCGGAACTGAGCGAACGAATCCCCTAAAAGACAAAATAAACTCATTTTTCTTGTTTAAATATCACTTTTTCTCCTCGGTGTGTTCATCACGTCGAAGTGCAAAGACCACGACTTCCCAGTTAAAATGTCTGACAATGTGTTGGTGTAAAAGGCAGTCGGCAGCTTCGAGCGGCGCCGACATGTGACACCAATCTTCCACAACATGAACAGCAGCTCTCGTCGATGCGTTATTAATAAACAGCATCAGCTTCAGCAGACGGACACAAACGAGAAAACTTGTGGTGTTGGAGTGAAGCACGGCGCGGTCGGAGCTCCGAGTGCCAACACAACAAGAGCACGGGGTCGTGTGTGAAGCACCACTCTCCTGGTTTTCTGCGAGCCGTTATCTCGGCAGCGCTTTGGGTGGAATGAGAGGGCTCTTGCTGGTATTTTTAAAAAACACAAGCTAAAAGTTCTTACATTCAACAAAACAGAGGTAACTTTGTTTTTTTGGGATAAAAAGACCAGGGAAATATTTTTAAAGTATTTAGAGAAAGAAAAATGATGGATTTCTAACACAACCAGGAGATTTGCATTGAAAATAACGGAGTTGACATTTTGGTCAGACAGTAACAATAACATGTAAAATCTAATGCGATGTTGCAAGATGCCACGCTCAGACTATGTGCAGTGAATAAATTGTAGCCATTATTCTAATATATAATAATTTTATATCATTATTGGCTGAATCCATTGAGGTGCAGCTGTTTTGGTAGGATAAGGTCAATTAGCTGCACATCTTGAAATGAGTTCACCTCAAAGGTTATCAAGTTGTAGATGTAGAGCCAATAACCGTTTTATTAAAATGTGTCTAGTTGGTCAAGAGATACTTTGCTAACAAACAGAGTTAACATCAACAGATGATGATAAAGTTTGAGTAAAGTAGATGTGTAATCTGTATAAATACGAGTTAAGGACTATTGTCACTGTCAACAATGATCAAACCAGCTCAACATCTCTGACTGGCTGTTAGTGCCATAATTCTGGTGCTTCCTAAGGTCAGTTTGCTGTGGTGGCCATCTTTAAATGGGTTGAATCTTAAACTTAATCAGCTGTAGATGTTCATCCAATGATTACCTTTTGAGAATTTTTAAAAAAGAAAAGAAAGAAATACCAGTTGTTTAAAATATCCATCCGTCACCTTTACCCATGTCTTCCTTTTTGAGTCACTGGTGCCCATGTCCAGCAGGCAGGGGACAAGCTGGACAGGTCTCCAGTCCATCACAAAGAGACAAACAACGATTCATTCTCTCACTCTCACCTAGGGACAATTTAGAGTTACCAATCAGTCTAACATGCATGTTTTTGGTCTGTGGGAGGAAACTGGAGTACCCAGAGAAAACCCACAGATGCATGGAGAGAACATGCAAACTCCACCCAGAAAGGTCCTCGGCTGGGATTTTATCTGGCAACCTTCCTGCTGAGAGGCAACAGCCCTACCGACTGAGCCATCCAAATAAATATATATACTGCATATATATATATATATATATATATAAGCATACACACAGTATATACATAAATAAATGAATATGGACAAATCCACATATATACAAATACACATATATACAAATACACACATATAAGTAAAAACATGGTCTGCCTTTGCCTTTTGGGAGTGGATTGGACATTTCTACATGACAAAAGTGACAGAAACACTAAAAAAAATGATACAACTGGAGCAAACTTCTGGTGTTTCTTATCTGCTTACTAAATAATGAAGAATTGAAGGAAACAGTTAATTTACATCTGGATTAGGACTGGGATTATCGAATATACTCGATGTATGAAGAGATTTTCGAGTTACGATGGTTAAAATGGCTCCATCACAACCATCGAGTATTATTAGACTTGAAAATCCATGTAGTTCTTTTTCTCCTGTCTGCGCCTCCAACTTCACACAGCTCCCTTTCTCCCCGACTGAATACAAACCAAGCCCCTCACCTGTGCGCACTACCCCCACTCCCATCTTCTCCAGGTGGGGTGGAGGTGGGGGGTGGAGTTTAACGAAAGTAAACAGAAGAGTACAGCTTAGCTGCTGTGCAAAAATAAAAACAACGGCCGTTATTTGGAGATGGTTTGGATTTAAATTGTCAGATGAGCAGCAGAAAAATGTTTTCTGTAGACAATGCTGAAAACAAGTCCCGACAATGGTCAGAACTACGAATCTTCTTCACCATTAAAACAGCGCTATAAGTTAAGTTACAAGATGCAACTCCGACTGTGTTTTCAGCCTCCTTCCCTGAAACAAACCACAATATAAAACTCATTTAGTCGTGCTGTGCTTTATGAGAGGAACAGTGAGAGATGCTGCGACATTAATACAGCAGCAGCTTATCATATCAAAGACACAGTCCTTAGTGGCTAACAAGACGGCTAAAGTTAGCAATCTTGTTAGCCGCTAAGGACCGTGTCTTTAGCGATGCTTCACGTGCTGCTTCACACACGCTTACTAATGTTGTGAAGAGATTATTATTTAATATGTGTACGGTAAATAGTTAATTTTTTTAGACATTTAGCAGAGTTACAGCTGTTTGTTAATAAATGTGCATGTGGGACAAAGCTTTGACTCAGAAATATATTTTTGTTATTACTTTATGGAAAGAAAAAATATTAATTCATTCAACCTTTATTTATACAGGTTGGTCTCATTGAGCCTCGGGACTCAGTTACAAGAGAGACCTGCTTTTTAACAAATAATGATGACAACAGCAGACAATCATAAAATAATGCATCTGAATTGAAAACAGCTACATTATAAAGCCAAGTAAAATACTAAAAACAGGAACATGTCTGCACTGGTTTGTGCCATGAACTTAGCAGATGTTTGAATATCGAGATATATACCGTATATCGCAATTTATTTTAAAAATAGAGATATTAATTTTGGTCCATTTCGTGCAGCCCTAATCTGGATCTGGAACTTTATAAATAACGGTTCTTTTAAAAATTAAAAACTCTTCTGGGATGTTGTTTATCAAAGATTAGGTTTAAACTTCACACATTTTGAGATTAGATTTTAAATACAAAACAAACGTAGTTTTGTCTTAAGCCTACAGGTTGAGGAACAAGCGAGCGACTCATTCTTGGCCAGGGATCTGAAACTTTTACAACCATAAAAGCCAAAAATGTGTTTGGAGCTGCCAAACCTGCAGCAACTGTGATTATCAACTGGTGGCCCATGGACCACTTCAAGTTTGTAGGAGGGGGCATTTCTGGCCTGTAGGGGTGGCATGATAAAACTAAAAACATCTAATGATTGTTAAAATGTACTTATACTTTTACATTTTAAGACAAAATAATAATAATAAATAATAAGTAAAGTGCTATGTGCATTGTATGTTCCCATACAAAGACGAAATTGTCTCTGCATTTGACCCATCACACCTGGGAAACACCCAGGTGGAGCAGTGGGCAGCTATGCAAGCACCCGGGGAGCAATTCGCGATTTGATGTCCTGCTCAGAGACACCACGAGATGTGCAACGACCGGGGATCAAACCCAGGAACTTTGGGTCCCGAGGCGGCTGTCCTGCCCCGACACCATCTCGACCCCATAGAAGAGACTACATTCAAGTAAAGGAGGAAAAAATAAATAGTTTTTACCAATTTTATAGAAATTAAAACACTGAAATATACGGGCGTATGTGAGTTGAACAAATTCATTAGTCTTCACTTTAACATTATACTATATTACTTCAAAGTAAGTTTAAAAGTTAGGCTAGTTTGTTGGATCTGCAATTGAATTTTTAAATAAAAATAAATACTTCCACTTACTTTGACTTAATTTTTAAATTGTTATTGTTATCAAACTGACTCATCATATTCCTTCCCAGCAACTTGTATTAAAGATATTCCCAAAAAACTTCTGGTGTATTTGAGAGAACCATCCCATCAAAAAGTTGGACGTCAGCTTAAAGAAGTAACAAACTACTAGCATGATTTAGTCAACATGTTGTATTCCTTGTATTAGTACAACCACACATTGGAAAAGTAAATGACAAGAAAATGGCTAGAACCAGCCCTTTTTTCTTGTTGGTATAAAAACAATAAAAATCAGTTTTATTTAGGTTCGGGTCAAAGCGTGAAAGAGGCACTGCAGAGGGACCGAAGGGCCCAGAGCTGCAAATTGCAGACGCCTTTTCAAGGCTGTTGAAAGCTTTAGCTCCATTTAATTATGCTGTTGGTCATTTTTTAAGCAAACAGTAAGGGGAAACCAACTATCATGTTATTATTTGCAGATCAAAGCTTCCTGAAGCTGAACCTGAACCAGTCCGCCACACACAGATGGTCGGTCAGTGGGAGGTCTGACGGGGGAGCTGCAGTCAGTCGCAGCCTCTTACTTTGTTCCCTGCCCTCTGTCTGAGTGTGTTACAGACACTCAGCCTTCATCTACAACCATCAGCGCCATCTGCGGCAGCCCTTGATTGCTTGGCTGTAAGAGAAATGAAGGAGGTCAACGAGGAGGAGCTACCTGCTGTCAAACAGGCAGCAGAAGGACGACTTATGAATAGCAGCATTATGGAGGACACAATGACTGCGAGGCACGCCGATAAGAGAACGGAAGAGGAATGTCAGCTTTACGTGACAGCTCAGGAGCTGATTTCTTTACGTTAGACCATGAACATGTCTGATATCAGTGATGTCAACTGATTTTCCAGCTCGCTGTTAAACATCTAAGAACATAAATCCTGGATGTGGAGGACAGGAGATCAATTTGAATCACTGCTGGCATCTTAAGCAGATTAAACGTTAACAGTGAATATTCATGAAGAGCAGAAGCACAGTGATAACATCAAGAAACCAGACATGGTCCACAAACAGCTGGAGGAATTTTAGTAACCGCAAGAAACATGTGATACAAATAAAAGAGGAGCTTGTTGATTGTGTTTATTATTATGGGAAGTTGAATATGAGGACATTAGATTATTATTAGGATAAAAACATGTTGACAGTCTGTCAAAGCAGAGAGGTGACAGTATCTA